ATATGAAAGGCCACACATGTGCCATTAATTGTAGAGTATGACATCATTTAAATGCCCGCCTCGGCTTCTTACAGTAGTACAAATCCGAGTGGTCAATAGACATCTACATCTATCCTCAAATACGAATGAAAAGACACATGCGTTGTCGTCTGTGAGGACTAAGATGGATTGCCTCGTTTCCAGCAAAAAGGGTCTCCCGTCTTCTCTACACACACCATACGAAACACAGCAGCGTTAAGCTGCTGTTTTACGCTGGTATTCTGTGAGAGCGTGGTCCTTCCCCAGTCGAGTCGACCCATTGAACCTGAATATATAAAGCTCTCTTTACATATTCAGTAAAGTAGGATCCTCCTTTACTGTATATTTTACTAGCTTTTCTACCAAAAGAGGCAAATCTCAAAGTTTTAAGACCTTTATAAAACACAACTTTTTTTTAATCCTTTGCAATTCAGTTTTCATCATGACAATAGTTTTGGTTTCCATTCATTATAATCTGAGCATCTGCAAGGCGAGTACGAATAGGCTTTTGTTACACTAAGATGGTGCAATTTGCCAACATCTAGTAGATGGCATAGATAAATAAATATGTAGCAAGCTAGTAGATGGTGGTAAATTGCACCATCTAGGGATACATCACCATTTACCACCAGGTCGGATTGTTATCAAGCACTGGCTTATAACATATACAAAAAAATCCTGGCCATAATCATACACTACGGAGTAAACAACATTTATAGATAATACTAGCGATCTGTTCCGGCTTCGCACGGATGATTTCTGGATCTCTACAACAGCACCAACGGATTACCGGATCCAAATGTGACTCTAAACCATCTAGATACTATAGTATGTGCCAAATCGATTGAGAAAAACGGACAATGACCTTTCGGTTGTTTAACCATGGGTTACAAACCTTCAAATAGGCACATAAATTCCTATCTTACAAGCCATGTATGATAGGATCCAAAAACAATTTGTATTCGATAAGTACAGGATACAATTGAGAGAAAATGACCATCTGGACATCATTTAAATGCACGCCTCGGCTTCTTTCAGTAGTACAAATCCGAGTGGTCAAATTTTCAATGACTCTTCTGCATAAACCCGGCTGGAATTGAGCGATGGCCTGTGTTTGTTTTCACCTATAGGGCATAGGTCAATTGTGGGTTTTTTGCATAGACCTGCGACTTCAAGAAACCCCACAAGAAAGTCTAGCGGGGTCAAATCGTATGACCTTGGTGGCCAATTCATATCAACCCTGATTAGCGGTTTGAGGGTAACTCAAACCGCTCAAGGAATGTCAATCGTGGCGTCCGCTGTGTGGCACGTAGCGCCGTCCTACTGGACCTACAAGTCTCTACATATGGTTCAATTTGGGCCATAAGAATTTGTTATCATCGTTCTGTAGTGTTCACCGTTGATGGTGACCGCTTCACCAGCGTCGTTTACGAAAATGTACAACCCAATGACGCCGCCGGCCCAAAATACACACCTAACGGTAACTTTTTTTTAATATGAAAAGGGTAACAAGCGAGCACACAGTCCATCTGATAGCAGCATTAAGCTGCTATTTCGACGCTGGTATTCTGTGAGAGCATGGTCCTACCCCGGTCGAGCCGACCCATTCGTGCTACAACTATAAAATTAATATAGCTGCAGCATAGCTCAATCACGTAAATAAACTTTTTGATGATGCACATCAGTTGAATCTCGCGTGGGTTGGTGTCGTCCCATTTACAATTCTGGTTGTTAACACAGCCATTCATCCAAATATGCGGCTCGTCGCTGAAGATGATTTTTCGGCCAAAATTGGGGTCCTCTTCCAAACGATTCGAAGCCCAACCCAGTTAGCGAACAAACGGCCTTGTCTATCGTCATGAACTTTGAGCTCCTGGGTCAGTTTGGATCTTGTACGGGTGTAGGCCTAAGACCCGACGCAAAATTCGCCAAGTTATTGTCTGCGAAAGGCAGAGTTCTTATGCACAGCGAGGTATGAACTGTGTCGGGTCCTGTTGTACACTTTCACAAACCACGACGATATTCTCGGCCGATCTTGCGTTCCTTGAATTTACCGAACTGATCATTTCATATTTGGCTGCTAAACGTTGTAGTCGATTGTAAAAGGCCACCACCACGTCTACCGCAAAATGGGCGCAATATGCTAACGCTAATTTTGAAAATAAAGTTTTATCATTTGAACGAGCTGTTCAATCGTGTAACTCGCCATGGTAATTTGGCGTAACTGAATAATAAACAAAAGATTTAATAAATGTCACCAAAACAAAATCGTCACCACGGGCCGCCAAAATCTACCCGCGACAATTGAAAAACCGTTTATATAAATCATTATACAGTTGTCATAAATTACTGTACTAATAGCATGTATGCTATTTTATTTAAACATTTTAGAGGTAAAATAAAACAAGCAGTAAAGCACATTTTAGTATTTTTATTTTTGGTAAAATTTACCACAATACAAAATATTGATAGAAATAAATAAAGTAATAAAATGTATAGACAGGTCATAGAACTATGCATTGTAAAATTGGTGCTTTTAAAGCAATATAATATAATTTATAATAACATTAGGCAAAATGGCATGTGTACATTAAAAATAAAAGCATTTTTAACACAAAATAATATCAAGAGCAGACATTTACACTTAATCATTAACAAAAAAGGATTCATCACTTAGTGATTTGGTCTTTTTAAATTTATTTATAATGTTTACAGGACTAATAAAATGCACATGCGCAGACATAATTTAAAGCATGACTTTAATTGCAACAAATGATCCTTTTAAGAATTTTAGTATATCATATGCATATATGATATATAATTTTTATTATGTAGTGTATATATTGTATAAAATTAATTGAAAAATCATTAGAATATAACAATGCCATGGTCCAAAAATAAAACAGTAAAAGGAATAGAAAGAGGAAATTCATGTTAATATTATTTGAATACAAAACTAAATATTTTAAAAAATAGATGTTAATCATAATTCATCATCATTAAAATTACCTGTACTTTTTATTTATTATCATTAACTCGATGTAAGCTAGTTTTATTTTTTCGACTACCTCACGTATCAAATGTAACCAAAATAACAACCATTATGTATAGTGTAAAAAAGAAATCATGGCTCACTGTTTATAACTAGGTCGTAATTTAGAATTAAGACTAGGTGCGTAACATTAATGTAACTTCATTATTTATACTTCAATGTTTATTACAATATGACTAATATTCAAGTTTGCATTTTTGTAACAGGTTCTAATTAAAATCAAATATAACAAAAATATGTAATAAACATTATTATTGGATATATCAATATTTCTATTAAAAAAGAGAAGAATAATAAAAAAATACAATAACAATACAGATTAAACAAAGCCAATACCCATTTTAGGTACACACATTTTTTGTTATGTTCATATTGTTCTAAACATTGAAGTGTAAAGATCAGAGAACTCGTAATATCTCAATGTAATTCTTTTGAAAAAAAAAAATATCACTAAGTTATATGTATACTCTGCTGCTTCATTGTTTATATAAAATACTTGGGGGCGACTTTATAGTTAATACTGCTATTGTAAGATGCAGCAATTAATTAATCTATTATATTAATTCTATTTCCTCTGACTTCTGCGTACAATTATTGATAAACAGAAACTAAGCACAGCGTTCACTGGTACTAGTGTGATGTTATTGTGATGTTTATACTACTATTTCGTTTGGTTCGTCAATTAAAACGCAAATAATAAAATTTTAAAAAATTCTTTTAAAATTAATCATGTGTATTTAAAACTCAAGCTGTGGTGTAAATGTATTAAAGCTAACAAATGTGCATTTTCTTGTTAAACCGTGCCTGACTGGGAGTTAACATTTTTTATGAGCATTCCACCAATTACATGTACAACAATATTTCTCCCACCTCAACCCGCACACCTAATAACTTAGTTATATACAGTAATGCTCTATAAAATACAACCTACTACTATGACTACAATAAAACGATTTGTCGCTTAAATGTTATTATTATTATGACAGATAATTCCTCTTATTTACAAATTTGCTATACAATAATCGTTAAAATTACTAAAAAGTAACATTGTACTTGTAACTTTTCTACCCCTCTTTTAAATGTTCTAATTTCATAAAATTAAAACTTCCATCATATGTACAAGTTAGTCGAGACTTAACTGATCACAAGTGAAGAAATGTAAGAACATAATGAGGAACAAATTCCATTGTACACTACGCACTAACCATTCTCTTATCCAAATGGGATCAAACATATCACATTGAGGTTAAGTGTAAACACTTAAGCCGTTTGCAAACCTTAACAGTCCTATGTAAAAGGAAACTAAATATTTACACAATATATAAAACTTATCACATAATATATTTAAAGTAAAACCAATTTAATACATAATCCAACAATTTCAAACACTGGGCAGATTCAAAATAAAAGAGATCATAATTAGATTCATGGAAACATGTCCAATGGTGGCACTGAATATGTCAAGATTTAAGGTGGGAATGAAGCGATATGTGAATAGGACTTATTGTCTTACAATAAATATATACATATAAAAATTGTGCTCGACCCAGTATTTTTTGGACATGCATTTCTCCTAAAATCAACCGTATGGAGATCCATCTCAATGCACTTCCTACATTAAAAATGTCCTTTTAGGATTAAGCATTTATTCCGTCAACAGAAATTTGAAGTCTTATTCCATTATGTACTTATGTAATTATGCTATTCAATAAGTAAAGCCTGCATTAAAGAGCCTTAGCTCGAACATCAATGACATACCAACTAGAGACACTACAAAGAAGGTTGTAATATATGAAAAAATCACCTTAATGTATAATGCAACCCTGGTTGCAATATCTGTACTTGGTTCACTCTATACCTGCCTGATAAAATTAATATCAAGGCGAGTTTAATTGACACAGTTTAATCACACTCACATTGTCTTCATTCACTAGTTGAGGTACTTTCTGCACTTCTTAGCGCCACAAGTGCACGGTATTTTGACTTCTTCAAAGGGAAACTTATAATCATACGTGAGTTCCTCGCCTACTGTAATGCGTCGGAGCGCGAAGATAAGAATGTGCTTGTGTCCATGGATATCCACGACTCGGGAGTAACAATTTGGCTGAAACAAAACATAATTATTAATTATTGAAACAATGGGTGCGTTTGGCAGAAAAATCGCTAGCAAGCGCTTACAAGCGCTAAAATAGTTTTCGGCCAGGACACGATTGCTACTTCAGTGGCGCTGACACAATCCGCCATTTTGCTTATTTAATTTGTTTGTTTTGAAGTAGAAATTATAAGTTGCTTTGTGCAATATTAGTTTTAAGTAATATAATGACATGAATAGACATATACATGTTATTAAAAATTCATGATTGGTAAGTTTTTAATATGAATACTTTACAAACATATATTTAAATTAGTTAGGTTAGGTTCCCCGGTTAAAACTAACATCGTGTCCTGGAGGAAAATAGCTACTTACGATTTGACAGCGCTTACCGCTTACGATCGCCATTTTGTTTACAAGCGCTTGCTAGCGCTTTTTTCTGCCAAACGCACCTAATGTATATATAGTTAAAATATGAAACACGAATAATTTAGTGAAGTAGTATGTAAGGAAGGTCCTTGCTCCTTTCTTACATACCTCGACCGATAGGTTTTAATTATCTTTTAACATACTCAAATACTTCTTTGGCGTAAATTTTATGTGAATATGTTACTGCTAAAAGTATAAAGTTTTAAGGATTTAAAACAATCTATGACATGAATATTACACTAATAAAGTTCTAACACCCGTTTGTCATTTGTTGAAAGTAAACTCATGTTTTCATTTATATTTATTACGTTTTGGCGATTTATTAAGATTCACACACTGTAGTAAGCAAGTTAAACTGACCGCGACATCATCCGCAAGAGAAGCGTCTCGCTGTTAAGACGTTGGAACAGCATTCTGGATGCATTTGCAAATAGGTGGGATTCTCCACTGCTACGGATTTGTCTCACTCTCAGCCAGATTAAATTACGCAAGATTAAATTAAAATAAATTTAATTTAATTTATAATGTCATAAATGTTACTAGCATAAGTTTTAATTGTTTACTAAGCCTATGGATGAAGAATCCGAAATAAATGTATTTGATTTGATTTGTTTAAGACGCCACAAAAAGAAGAAGAAGAAAACTATTCAATCAAATGAGGATTATGAATTTAATAGGTTGAAGTAAATTCCAATTTGAGCTATCAATTGATTGCTCAATCACCTTGAGTATGAACTACCCTGAGGTTACATCAAATCTGAATGATTTATAACTCGAAATCTGTCGGGAGCAGGTTTACAGGTGGACAATGTCACAGTGTTCAACGAGGTTTATCAAAGGTCCATATTTAAATTGAATCTTAAAAGTAAAGTTATAGCCTATTTACGTCCCACATCTGGCCACTGGCCTCATCTCATTAAGAAAACATACTCAAACTTATGATATTATAAATGTGTATGTTTGTGTTTCAATCACACTTGAATGGCTTGACATATTTTAAACTAGTATAATTTTATAAGACATACAATTATACTGCCCTGATACGGAAAAAGGCGGCTAAGTGCATTTTGTCGATTTTGAGCTTTCAGCACCACTAGACTAAGCAAAAAATCTCTATCGACCAATATTGGAATTATATTTTTACGATTGATAGTTCCTGAGATACATTAAGCATTTTGGCGGTTAAGTGCAAAATTTTCTTTGCTGTCATACGCTAGAAATCAGTTACGATGCACCGTTACGCTATATAGCCGTTAATAGATTTTAACGATTTTTTCTTAGTTGAAATTTAATATTTGATGTTATAAAACTAAGAAAAAATGCAGTTAAACACATTTTCTAAGCTAAGAGGCAGTTAGTGTAAATAACTGCTTTATTCTTTAGTTGCAGTCATGCTAGGCTATACCTAATAATATGCTAAAAAGCGATAAACACTGGTAGTAGAAGCTAAAACACGTCTAAAAACACTTAGCTGTTCAAGCGTAGAATTTAAAAAATATATTTAAATCACGTACTTCCCAAAAAAGCATTCACTGCTTTTTAGTGTAAGATGAACCTTTGAATTATATTTGGAACAATATTTAAACAGCGTCTAAGTGTAAGTTTAGCAATCGATGTGTACGTGAAGAATTAGATCAGCAAGTTTTAAGAGTTAAAAAAAGTATGATCAGAGCTCTTGTCCGAGTGAGTCAAAGGTATATTCTTTGGTTTGGGTTTTCATTTAGAATATTGTATAATAGTTCTCCGAAAAAATGTGTCTTTTCTGATGAAAAGGACTTTAAAACTTATTTTCCCCAATAAATTGCAATTAAATTGCGAGGAAGAAATTTAATAGAATTTAAAGTAAATAAAATAGTTATATTTATTTTTTAATATGTAACGATTTCTCATATTTAAGCGAACATTTAAATAAAACTAGTTTTTACGGATTTTATCATTGATTTATATAACACTAGATCAGTAATAACCGCGCCAAAGCGTTGCCACTGCACATATGGCCACAGCCATATGCCTAGCTAACGTGAGTTCATTGTTCAATGTGACGCCGACAGAGTTGAGCCGCGACAAAAATGGGTAAATGCGTAGTGAAAGAATGCTATTCAAGGTCACAAAAACGTAATAAATCAGGCGGAATCACTTTCAACACATAATTTTTAGTTTTTGTTTTCATATAAACGTAAAAAACCTCAAATAATTAAATAAAATTATCGAATATTGCCATTTAGGTTCAATGTTGCCACTTTTCTGCATTTGTGATTATCCTACAATCCTACATTAATAGGAGACTATATAATTAATGGGGTAAGTTAATTTGTTACCTCTGATTTTAAATATTTTGGAAATTATAATAAAAACTACGTTTTAACGTTCATACAAAATAATTAATTATTCTTATTTTAGTTTATTCATGAATTATCTATTAAATATATTTTATTACCTATTTTATATTGTTTGATTTATTAGTACCATAAAAATACGTTTTATTTCATCATTATGTTTACTTCTATTCATCTGATAAGCTGTGTATCCTTTTTTTCTAAGGGGACGTAATATAATAAAGAATAAAAATAGTAAGGTTTTAAAATAAAATATACTTTTTAATATAAAAACAATTACCTGCAGCTTAAAAAAACTCATTTTTATTGCGTATTTTAGGTAAAATTTCATATAGTTAGCCACACCAACCCGCCATTGCATGTTTTTGTATCTATCTTTATCTAATCTTAGCGACGATATTGTTTTCGCAACTTGTGTAAGTGAGATAGATATATGTTTACTTAAAATTGTTATTAGTTTCAAAGCTACGTCGTCGCGTTTGGATAGTGGTTACAATTTTTTCGACGCGCGGTAATGTGGTTTGCTCCTCTAGTGTTGTATAACTTAATGGATTTTATCGCGTATATTAACTTTTTTTATATTTAGCACTTTACAGCAACCATGGTCACGGGAGGGACTGAGGTCTTCGGCGTCCCGATGTAATAGTTACCCGGGGTTATTTACAGATTAAAATTATTAATTTTTGTTCCGGTCGACATAGTATGAACTTATAGAATCTTGAAGTCTTGCAGTTGTATGCGTGGATTGGGTTTTAATTTTATTAACTATAGGATCGTCGTCGAAAACCTTAGTCCCCCGTGACCATGGGTGCTGCAAAGTTTTATTTAAATGTGTAATGTTCGCGTAAATATGAGAAATCGTTACATATTTATTTTTACAATTATATTTTCCACTAATTTTAAATTTAAATTCATGAATTTATATGAATGTTTTTTAAACTGGCATCTCCATTGAAATTGCCACAGTCATACCACACACAGCTTAGTACTTGACCTAAATAAATTAAAATTAATATAAAAATAAAAATTAGCTATTTTTATATCTTAAAATACTGATTTAGTTAGTACTTAAAAAGTAGTCAATAATAGCACATTTTATTCAAAATCCTTTCTTATATATAAAAAGAGCGTTATATTCATAACAAAATAATTTTAAAATACGTTACGGCCAAGGAGTGTTCAATTCAATTTTGAGGTAGCATGCGCTGCTACTACTGCTGCTCGGGCGCCAAGCAAAAAGGTCTGACAATAGTTTTCATTGTGCTAAGTGGATTTAGATTACCATTACACCAAATTCATGAACTAATATTTTACCTAATTTAATATTAAATCGTTTCCGAACGTAAGGGAGCTTACCTCTCCCTTCTTACATTACTTGAGTATTTATATATTTTTTAATTTACACCTTGAATAATGCCTTGATTTAACAAAGGCAAGAAGTTAGTGAACGTGGCTCAAGAAAAGACAGCAGAAGACTGTAAACCATTTAAACTTAATCAGTGGGCACATTGGACACGACTGGCTCCCTGTTCTTTAATAATTGGTACATTTGGTCTTAATCTACATTGAATAAAAAAGTTTCTGTTTCTGTTTCTGTTCAATCATACTCTATGGATCTAATAAGTGATTCTGAATCAATTTACAAAATTTTATCAACTCCAAAAGTTAAGCGGGATGTTCAAACTTGATATCTCACAACACCAAAATAAAGATACACAATGAATTCACCTAACTGAAAAAGAATAAAACGCTTTAAATATATTTTGTTATGAAGAAATGGTACCATCTATAAGCGATGTATATAATTGTAATGATTATATCATATTTAATTGTATAGTTCAATATAGCTTTTCGAGTGATGTCAGGACTGCCGTGATTTTGCAGTGCATCAGGGATGTAGTACTACGCCAACGTATCACGTCTCTTATGTGTAGAGTGCGAGGGAGCTCCAATACTATTCTGAAGGTTATTAGTGGTAGATTAGAATAATTTTTTATTCAATATAGATTACAAGTAATTCTTATTGAAAGTCAATATTTTACGTTACCGCTGGTTCGAAAAAAAACCTCTGTCCTGGGAAGAACCAGCAAACCAGACTGTCCAGTCAAGGACACTGGGTATACATACATGGAGACACTGGATATAGACATATGCGTGTATACCAAGTGCCACAAACTAGCCCGGAAAATATTTAAATCAATGTTTTAGTGTTGTTTTTATTCTGTTTTACTAACATAATTTGTAAAT